GCTGTTTTGTTGCCAGAAAAAAGGGGAAAACCCCTATCATCATGTAAGTGTTAACTTGTTTTTTAAATCACCCTGTAAAGGTCTGCGGTCGAGATTGTGTTTCTGCGTGGATGGGTCTCTAAATCTATGGGACTCTGTGAGTGCGCGGGTCTCTTTTCACGCAGTTATTGGCTATGCGCGTCAAGTCTGTGTGTCTGCCGTGTGATGCATGGGTCTCGTTCTGTGCAAGTCTGTGCGGTTCTTTATAGGGCGAGATGTTGACTACCTCGCCTGGTATACAGGAGGTCGTGGGTTCGATCCTGACCCTGACGCCTGCTGCTGTATATTTGGAGTTTGCGTGTCTCTCTCTCTCATCATCATCACGGTGGCTAGGTGATGTTAACTACCTCGCCTGGTATACAGAAAGTAGTGGGTTCGATCCCGACACTGACGCCTGCTGCTGTATATTTGGAGTTTGCGTGTCTCTCTCTCTCATCATCATCATCACGGTGGCTATGAGATGTTAACTACCTCGCCTGGTGTACAGGAGGTCGTGGGTTCGATCTCGACCCTAACGCCTGCTGCTGTATATTTGGAGTTTGCGTGTCTCTCTCTCATCATCATCACGGTGGCTAGGAGATGTTAACTACCTCGTCTTGTGTACAGGAGGTCGTGGGTTCGATCTCGACCCTGACGACAGCTTTCTTTTGAGCCTCGTCTCAAACGGTGTTAGACCAGAGGCCGCCAAAAGGTTCAAAAGAAAGCTGTCTCTGGTGTGGACCAATCAGTTTTAAGGACAATGCAAATATTATCAGAGTGTGTTTTTGTTTACGTTCTGACCACAAGCATTGTGTTTAATGCAGACATGATTCCTTGTAAAAGGTTTCAGTTTGGCGTCTTAACATCTTAACACAACTGTTTTGTTGCCAGAAAAAAAGGGGGGAAATCTATTCTCAAAAAATATCTAGTTTTTAGTTTGAATGTTTATACTAGTGCAAGTATACGGATCTGTAGAACTGTGTTTTTTTTTTCACTCAAAAAAAAAACATGCCCACTTTTCCTCTTGTACAACGTCCAAAGAAGCTATCGCAATTCACACTGTATACGCAATCCGATAAACGCACGTCGGATTACAGTACATTCATCATTTATCGATTGGTAAACACGACAATAAAAAAAAGAATTTTTTTTATTTCACCCCTAGGTAGGATTCGAACCTCCAACCTCCGCATTCGCGGGCGCGCGCCCTCACCACTCGGCCACGGAGCTCGCGCCAGACCCCCCTCACTACCCCCCCCCCTAGAAATCCGATGAACTATAAAGCTCTTTTCACCAGACGTAAAAACGTTACAACGGATACAAAAACAGGACAGGGGGTGCAAAGTATCTAGATAAACAAATAAAAAATTAAAAAACGTGTAAATATACACACACACAAAAAACAAAACTATATATAAAAAAAAATCTTACCAGCTCAAGCCGACTGCAACTATTCAATTATTTTTGTGCGAAGGGCCCCCCACCACCCCCCCCAAACTCCCGTTCTCACCAGAGTCGGCTCCAGGCTTGAGGCTGAGCGGATTTTCCAGCAGGGACTTGAGAACGCTGTTCATGCCCACGAAGTTGGGGCCGGGTTGCTTGGAGGGCGGAGGAGGAGGAGAAGGAGACGACATCTTTCGCGTTGTGGCTCGCGAATGGTGGTTGTTGTTGTTGTTGTTGTTTACAGTCGAAACGCTTTAATGTATTATTCAAAAAGCCGGCTGTCACTCAACGTGAATTGATAATTGTGTTGTTGTTGTTTTGATATATTAATAGCGATGCCAAATGCGTGCGTTGCGTATGTGACTGTGTATATATATTTTTTGTTGTTGTTGTTGTTGGGTTCGTATTAAAAATAATGAAATTCGCTTTAACAAAAACACAGAGGACAAAAATCGCTCAGCGGCCGAACGATGCGCGCCACTTCACGGCAAGACTTCTTCCTGTGTGCGAGCGTCGCGTGAGGCGGAACCTTTTATACGCGGCGCGCGCTGAGGGGCGTGGCCTGTCGTGGGTGGGCGTGGCCTATGCAAATGAGTGGGCGGGGCTTAGCAGCAGTGCTGTGAGGAAGGGGGAGGGGCTGTCGTATGTGGGCGGGGACTATGCAAATGAGTGGGCGGGGCTTAGCAGCAGTACTGTTGGGAAGGGGGAGGGGCTGTCGTCGGTGGGCGTGGCTTGCAATCAGTGGAGCGGGTGTTGACAGTTGGCAGTTGGCGGGAATTATTGTTTGTGGGCGGAGTTTGTCATCAGTAGGCGGAGCTTGTTAGCAGTGGGCGGGGCTTACCAAGGGGCGGGGCTCACCAAGGGGGGGGGGCAGGGGGGGAGTGCTCACCAAGGGGCGGGGCTCACCAAGGGGGGGGGGTGCAGGGGGGAGTGCTCACCAAGGGGCGGGGCTTACCAAGGGGGGGGGCAGGGGGGAGTGCTCACCAAGGGGCGGGGCTCACCAAGGGGGGGGGGGGGCAGGGGGGAGTGCTCACTAAGGGGCGGGGCTTACCAAGGGGGGGGGCAGGGGGGAGTGCTCACCAAGGGGCGGGGCTCACCAAGGGGGGGGGCAGGGGGGAGTGCTCACCAAGGGGCGGGGCTCACCAAGGGGGGGGGGGGCAGGGGGGAGTGCTCACCAAGGGGCGGGGCTTACCAAGGGGGGGGGGCAGGGGGGAGTGCTCACCAAGGGGCGGGGCTCACCAAGGGGGGGGGGCAGGGGGGAGTGCTCACCAAGGGGCGGGGCTTACCAAGGGGGGGGGGCAGGGGGGAGTGCTCCGTGACTTTATCGAAAGAACCAAGATGAATCCCTGCAGTCACGAAAGCTTGAAAATTATTTTATGTTTTATTTTTATTAATTTATTATTTCCCTTCTACGTGACTTTACCGAAAGAACCAAGAAGATGAATCCCTGCAGTCACGAAAGCTTTAAATCGAAGGTTATCGATCATCTTTGCTAACTTGCTACTGACTTACAGCGTCAGCAGCGGTGCACGTGACACAATCAATACAATGACACGTTCAACGTGTTCGTCAATACTGCTACTAATGCTGCTGCTGTGGTTTTAATAAGAACCCAAAAAATATATATAATAGGGGACGTTCTAAGGGGCCGTCCATAAATGACGTCACGCACCTGGGGGGGAGGGGTCAGGGGGGTTGAGAAATGTGACGTCACGTCAAAATGCGCAACTTTAAATGAATAAAGACAACACGTTCTACTTAATAAAATAGACTTTTTAATAAATGTTTTCTCCTACAACATCAGAGTGCAGCGCCACATTAAATACGCACTACAATGACAAGAGTTTAAAGCGATTTGAAGCGTGTTTTATTTTTTTGGGGGGGGGGGGCAGAGCTTTGTGACGTCATATTTGAGGAGGGGGGGTCTGACTTTTTGTGACGCCGTGTGACGATAGGGGGAGGGGGGGGGTTAAAAATCGTAAAAATCGCGGGGTGGGCTGGTCACCCCGTGGTGCCCTTATAAAACTCAACGTTCAACCTACTCACGCCGGCTTGTGCCCGCCCTCACAGTCGGGCATATTTGCGGAATACACCACGCCGCCGTTGACCCTGCAGGCCATTGACCGAGCAACCCGACGTTCCTACCAGCTCCCTCCGCAGGAATGTGTAACTTCATTTGTATTTCTTAATTTTTAGTGAGGGGCCGTCCATAAATGACGTCACGCGATTTTTGACCCCCCCCCCACCTCGTCACAAAGCGTCACAAAAAGTCAGACCCCCCCCCCCTCTCAAATATGACGTCACAAAGCTATGCCCCCCCCCCCCTCCCCAAAAACATATTTCTATTTTGAAAATAAAACATGCTTCAAATCGCTTTAAACTATTGTCATTGTAGTGCGTGTTTAATGTGGCGCTGCACTCTGATGTTGTAGGAGTGTTGTTAAAGCAATAAGTGTTGTTGTTCTAACAATTCTATATTTATTTAAAGTTGCGCATTTTGATGTGACGTCACATTTCTAAAACGCCCCCCCCTCGTCACAAATGTCTGACCCCCCCCCCCCCCCCAGGTGCTTCTAATCTAGCACCCACCAGAAAGGGCATCTCGTACCCACCAGGGGGATGCTGCTGCTGCATCATTCCACGTCAAGACGAACCACTGATCCGACAAGTTCTAGATTTGAAGATTTCGTGACTGCAAGGATTCATATTCTTAGGTTTTTTCGGTAAAGTCACGTAGGTAAAAAAGTTAATAAAAGTAATAATGGAAATAAAATAAAATAAAAAAAATCACAAGATTCATACACGGCACGTGACTTTACCGAAAAAACATAAGAGTATGAATCATTGCAGTCACGAAAGCTTCAAATCTAGAACTTGTGGGATCAGTGGTTCGTTTTGACGTGGAATGATGCATCATCCCACGTCAAGACGAACCACTGATCCCACAAGCTTCACTAAAGGTGGTCTCAGGTCCCACTCAGTCTGCGTGGAGCGAGAGATTCTCTTGCAGATGTGGAACTGTTCGCCTGGATCGAGAGCCCACCCTCTGCCCCTCCGTGAGATATTCTCAGTATGTCTCTCTGTGTCTGTCTCGTCTGCGTGTCTTCATCAGTCTGTGTCTCTGTCTCATCTGCGTGTCTCCGTGTCTCCCAGCCTGTGTCTCTGTCTCTCTGTCTCGTCTGCGTGTCTCCATCAGTCTGTCTCTCTGCGTCTGTCTCGTCTGCGTGTCTCCGTGTCTCCCAGTCTGTCTCTCTCGTCTGCGTGTCTCCGTGTCTCCATCAGCCCTGTCTCCCTGTCTCTCTGCGTGACTTTACCGAAAAAAACAAGAGTATGAATCCTTGCAGTCACGAAAACTTCAAATCTAGAATGGGCGGAGAGATCAATGAGCGACGTTGACGGAAACACGGCAACAGCGGAAGTAGCGACAGAATATCCGTAAGGGAGGGGGGGGGCTGACCCAACTTGGTGAGCGAGCGAGGGCCGGGAGGGAATCGTCGCGTTCCGTATCATCAATCGGACAAGAGCAGAGGCAGACGCACTTCCACTGTTACCTTCAACCGTTTTATTGCCCGTCAACCATCCGCACAGAGCACATCCTGCGGCCCGACACTTGAGCATCGGAAAAAAAATGGCTACGTAGAGCTCAGTGGGGCATTTCTTGGTAAAATAAAATCTTGTTTATTAAATCCTTTATATTAAGTTCGCTTGCTTGCTTGCGCGCTTACGACCGTGCAAATCTTTCGGTCGTTTTTTAACCCACTTCCCGTGATCCAATCGAGCTGATATTTTGCACACAGACTCGTTGTGCGTGACAATTAATTTTCGTGAAAAAAAATTCATAACTTTACACTTTTTAGGAAAAAATTTTTATATTTAATTACCAATTGCTTAATGGTGGCAGGCAATCATCTGACCCATAGGTGGCAGCCATCTCAAGCCAGAGGACGAGAGGACTCTAGCCGCCACGCATTAAAAGGATTTATAGTGAAAAACTTTGTTTTTACGGGTTAATTTTTTTCTAGTCTTGATTGGAGGGGGCTGCCACACCGACAAAGGTTGCGAGTCGTTGCCTCCGCAAGTCGAAGGATTCCCCTCCTCCCGAGCCGGTCTCGCCGATTATTTCAGCGAATTATTCCGTGCTGCTGCTGCTGCTGCTGCTACTGGGAGCGTTTGGCTAACGGTCACGTGGTTTTACCTGTGGGAAGAAGCCGCGGAACACGGCGTAACAGGAACACAACCTCCACTCACAGAGAGCGACCACCAGCGTCGGGAATCGAACCCAGGCCTTCTCTCACCATGTGGCACGAGCCTCGCTCACCACTGGGCCGCGCCGATAGCCGTTCGGGCCAGGGCAGAGGTCGCAACCGGGTTCCCGATACCCAATACCCGGCTACCCGTATCCAGCCAGGTACGGGTACCCATTTGCGACCCTGGTGCGGCCGGGTACAGGTAGGTCGTGAGTCACTGCTGAGTAACCGTTTGTCACTCATTTCCCAACGTCTTGTCTCTTCTCACAATTCAAGTTCCTAGAATCAACCCACCCGCGCCTGCAACATGGCTTCATCCCAGAGGTCGCAATCGGGTACCCGATACCCGTACCCTACCCGTACCCAGCCGGGTACGGGTAGGGTACGGGTACGGCTACCCGTTTGCGACCCTGGTGCGGCCGGGTACGGGTAAGGAATCAAAACCCGTTTGCGACCTCTGGGCCAGGGGGTCGGCAAACCCGCGGCTCTCTGAGGGCCACTTAGCGACGTTGTTTACTTAAGGGGCAGCCCGTCTTGTGTTCGCATTGCATTGTGGGGCGGCTCTTGAAATATCGTGCTTTTTGGCGAATTCGAAAAAATATAAATGGCTCTCGTTGTTGTTGCCGTCCCCCTGGTGCAGGCCCATCTGACCTCTCTGACTGGCCGGGCGTGACATTCGCGACAACTTTGGAGGGAAGGAAGGACGCATCTAGGCCACATCTCGCAACTTCTGGAGCTTTTTTCTGAAGCTGGCAACACCCCGGCCTGGGGTCAACCGTCCGGCTGCAACGTCACCCGCTCCCGTTCCGATGACGTACAGTGCACGCGCGCGCGCATCATCAAAACGCAAAGGCGGAGGGGGGTGGGAAAAAACAAAATGAAGCAAACTTCGTCGGTACCGAGGGGGCGCGTGTGGCCACCGGTTTCGGCGGCGGCTACCGCCGAGCGTGGCGGTCGCGACGCCACGGTTAACCGCGACGAGCGCGACGACTTCAAAAAGAAACAAAAAAAACCACAACGGCGGCGAGCGGCTACGCCTCTCGTGAACAAAACTACCGGCATCCAGCGGCGTGAAGCGGGGTGGTGGTGGTGGAGTGGGGAGGGAGATCCCCCCACACCGCAACTCGCAAACGTCTCGGAAACAGCAGAAAGAGGGGGAAGTTACGACGAGGATGGCGTCACCGTCGCCGCCGCCGCCGTCGAAGACGACGAAGAGGTGGCGGCCGCCTTCTCCTTGGCCAGCTCGAGGCGATATCCCCGCAGGAGAACGTTGAGGAGCGTCGAGTCCGAGTCGCGCTGCCGCGTCACCAGCGGCGGGTATGGGTTGCCCGCCAGCTCCATCACGGCCATCTGGGCGCGGTCCGTGTTGGTGCGGTTCGGGATCTGGTGCACCGTCACGTAGCCGCCCTCCACGCTCCGGAAGCGTGGGGCTAAGACTTTGAAGAGCTTCGGGACCAGGTCCTTCTCCTGGTAGAGGGAGGAGGAGAGGCGGTGAAGGGGGTGGGGGGGGATGGTGTTCGGCTGTGCGTTGAAATCCCCCGTCGATTTGTCGATGGAATTATTTAAAAGACACGGTCCGCAATTAAATGTTTGTGTGGGTTAGATCGCGCAACTACTGGTTTCGGTGTTTAGTTTGTGTTGTCCTCCCCCCCCGCCGCACCTCCGATGAGCATGGTTGGCTAGGTACTGTGCGAAAGAAGTTCAGCATACATACGTGTTGTTAACATTGGTCGCCTGCGCGCTAAACTGGAACGATATTTTATTCTTGGTTCTTTCGGTAAAGTCGCGTAGAAGGGAAATAATAAAATAATATAAATATAAAACAATAAAAGTTCTCACGAAGTTTCGACTGCAACACGAGCAATCATCATCAGCAAGAAAATTTTCCTGCTGTGAATTTAACACCTGATGACGATTTGCTCGTGTTGCTGTCGAAACGACGTGATAATTTTATTGTTTTATATTTTTATTATTTTGTTATTTCCCTTCTACGTGACTTTACCGAAAGAACCAAGAATATGAATCCCTGCAGTCACGAAAGCTTTAAATCAAAATTTGAAACGATATTATATGTTTCGTTATAATTACGCTGCTTTACCCAGAGAAGCATCACCGAGGCTCAACACTCTGGACTGGAACATCTGGTGAAAAAAAGCTTCATAGCTCATCGGATTCCAATTCAGATTTCGTGGGGATGGTCCTGCCAAGTCTTCGCGTGAGGATGACGATGTTGCTGCTGCTGCTACTGTGCGTGTGATCCCAACAGGCCAGCGTTTTTCTGCGATCTAATTGTTCAGCCTCGGAAAAATTTGGCCAAGAAAGTTTCTTTTAGCTGTGGGAGAAATCTGGAGAACTAAACTACTTTTGTTAATCTTACCAGGTAAGGCACCACTCACTCAGCTCTTTTTCAGGAGCGACCTGCCTCGCAAGAATGATAGCCCCCGACGAAGTGGCTTATCTGTGGAAATTCATAGCAGCAAAAGACTCTGAACGCATGGCGATGTGGATTCTAACGTGCAGGGAAGAAACGGAGGACTCGGAGAAAAATCCACAGGACCGCGGGGAGAGAGACAAGCAAACTCCAAATATACAGAATCAGAATATTTATGAACACTGGAGGAATCCGATGAGCTATGAAGCCGTTTTAAAAGCTCTTTATCACAAATGTCCAGTACAGCAGGTGTCAGGGGTCGGGATCGGACCCACGACCTCCTGTACACCAGACGAGGTAATTAACATCTCCTAGCCACCGTGATGATGAGAGAGACAAGCAAACGCCAAATATACAGCAGCAGGCATCAGGGTTGGGATCGAACCCACGACCTCCTGTATACCAGGCGAGGTAGTTAACATCTCCTAGCCACCGTGATGATGATGATGAGAGAGACACGCAAACTCCAAATATACAGCAGCAGGCGTCAGGGTCGGGATCGAACCCACGACCTCCTGTATACCAGGCGAGGTAGTTAACATCTCCTAGCCACCGTGGTGATGATGATGATGAGAGACACGCAAACTCCAAATATACAGCAGCAGGCGTCAGGGTCGGGATCTAACCCACGACCTCCTGTACACCAGGCGAGATAGTTAACAACTCCTAGCCACCGTGATGATGATGAGAGAGAGACACGCAAACTCCAAATATACAGCAGCAGGCGCCAGGGTCAAGATCGAACCCACGACCTCCTGCACAGCAAGCGAGGTAATTAACATCTCCTAGCCACCGTGATGATGAGAGAGACACGCAAACTCCAAATATACAGCAGCAGGTGTCAGGCGTCGGGATCGAACCCACGACCTCCTGCACACCAGGCGAGGTAGTCAACATCTCCTAGCCACCCTGGCGGCGCTTGCCTCCTCCAGGAAGCAAACGTAAAGAGCGAGGCGAGGCGGTGCGTCGCGCATTGGGGGCCCACCGTGAGCCAATAGTCGGCGATCTTCATGGCAGTTTCATCCCCGTCACCGCGCTTGGCGTAGTCGATGAGCTGCCGGGGGCACACGGGGGAGGGGGGGAGAGAGAAGAGGTTTGAAAACAGGGCACAGGGTGGTCGGCATCAACGCGGCAGTTACACTCCGCACCCCCCACCGCCCCGATTAGGACGGTGCTCGGCAGAGGTTGCAAACGGGTTTTGATTCCTTACCCGTACCCGGCCGCACCAGGGTCGCAAACGGGTACCCGTACACGGCCGTACCCGTACCCTACCCGTATACCCGGCCGGGTATGGGTAGGGTACGGGTATCGGGTACCCGATTACGACCTCTGGGATGAAGCCATGTTGCAGGCGCTGGTGGGTTGATTCATGAACTTGAATTGTGAGAAGAGACAAGACGTTGGGAAATGAGTGACAAACGGTTACTCACCAGTGACTCACGGCGTACCCGTACCCGGCCGCACCAGGGTCGCAAATGGGTACTCGTACCTGTACCCGGCCGGGTACGGGTAGCCGTTCCCTACCCATACCCGTACCCTACCCGAAATGAGTGACAAACGGTGACTCACCAGTGACTCACGGCCTACCTGTACCCGGCCGCACCAGGGTCGCAAACGGCTACCCGTACCCGGCCGGGTACGGGTAGCCCGGCCGGGTACGGGTAGCCGGGTATCGGGTAGGGTACGGGTATCGGGTAGGGTACGGGTAGCGGGTAGGGTACGGGTATCGGGTAGGGTACGGGTATCGGGTAGGGTACGGGTATCGGGTACGGGCATCGGGTAGGGTACGGGTATCGGGTAGGGTACGGGTATCGGGTAGGGTACAGGTATCGGGTAGGGTACGGCTATCGGGTAGGGTACGGGTATCGGGTAGGGTACGGCTATCGGGTAGGGTACGGGAATCGGGTAGGGTACGGGTATCGGGTAGGGTATGGGTATCGGGTAGGGTACGGGTATCGGGTAGGGTACGGGTATCGGGTAGGGTACGGGTATCGGGTACCCGGTTGCGACCTCTGGTTCTCGGCGCGTGAAAGGGTAGCAGGGTGCAGCGCCCCCCCCACCCCCCCCCGCGAGATTGCTCTCTTCGCTGCCTTGCTGGGAGATGGGGTCACTGCCACGGGGGGAGGGGGGGGGGCGACAGAGAGGGCCCCCATCACCCCCCCCCCAGCGCCCTCTTGTCTCGAGGGTGAGTTTGGTCGACTCTTCCGCTCCGGCCGGGACGTCGAGATGAACCCACACTTTGCCCCACCACCACCAACAACAACCATCAACAACAACCACCACCACCAACAACCACCAACAACAACCACCACCAACAACCATCAACAACAACCACCACCACCACCAACAACCACCACCAACAACAACCACCACCACCAACAACCACCACCAAGACACACGACCTATTTGAAAACTATTTTGTTGCAGGTAAGGCCCACTGAACTATGTAGCTCAACCAAGTGGCTTGCTCTGTGTAAATTCGTGGCAGCCAAATAATTTGAATGCACGTTGATTCTAAATGTGGAGGGAAAACCGGAGGACCCGGAGAAAAGTTCACGCTACCACGCGGAGAGAGACGCAAACCCCCAAATATACAGCAGCAGGCGTCAGGGTCGAGATGGAACCCACGACCTCCTGTACACCAGGCGAGGTAGTCAACATCTCCTAGCCACCGTGATGATGATGAAAGAGACACGCAAACTCCAAATATACAGCAGCAAGCGTCAGAGTCTGGATCGAACCCACGACCTCCTGTATACCAGGTGAGGTAGTTAACATCTCCTAGCCACCGTGATGATGATGAGAGAGACACGCAAACTCCAAATATACAGCAGCAGGCATCAGGGTCGGGATCAAACCCACGACCTCCTGCACACCAGGCGAGGTAGTTAACATCTCCTAGCCACCGTGATGATGATGAGAGAGACACGCAAACTCCAAATATACAGCAGCAGGCGTCAGGATCGGGATCAAACTCACGACCTCATGCACACCAGGCGAGGTAGTTAACATCTCCTAGCCACCGTGATGATGATGATGAGAGAGAGACACGCAAACTCCAAATATACAGCAGCAGGCGTCAGGATCGGGATCAAACTCACGACCTCCTGCACACCAGGCGAGGTAGTTAACATCTCCTAGCCACCGTGATGATGATGAGAGAGAGAGAGACACGCATCTTGCCACCGTGACCTGCCGATGGACTAACTCGCAGCGTATCCATTTACACTGCAGGGTGGACAAAGGTGCGTGGGGGGATGGGTGTAATGGGGTGGGGGGTAAATCAGAAAACAATTTCTTCAACGGCCACGACGGGAGATCGAACCAGAGCCTGCGACCTCCGGTGGCGCGCTAGCCGCTACGCCCATGGCAACGGCGGCCTCCCTTCGGGGTTACCATGCCGACGGCGATGGTAATTGGGGCAGGGGGGAGGCTTGGGGCGGCTTAGTTAAGAGACAAGTCGGAGGTGCATCGATTGCGCTTTGCGGGTGACGGCTGCGCAAACGGCGCTAATCTTCTTGCTCCAGAGTGCGCAAAGTACGCGTTAAGCACAGGGAGACTCCTCTGCCGACGGACATTCGACCCACGAACTTTCAGAGATACGAACAAACGTGTCCGTGTGTCCAGTTGCCCGTTCGGACCGAGAGTCCTAAGTTCAACCGATGCACAATAAATGGCAGTGGTGGCATCTACATCTGCAGAACGTGAAGAACCAGTGGCTTCTACATCTGCAGAATGTCAAGAACCAGTGGCTTCTACATCTGCAGAACGTGAAGAACCAGTGGCATCTACATCTGCAGAATGTCAAGAACCAGTGGCTTCTACGTCTGCAGAATGTCAAGAACCAGTGGCTTCTACATCTGCAGAACGTGAAGAACCAGTGGCATCTACATCTGCAGAACGTGAAGAACCAGTGGCATCTACATCTGCAGAACGTGAAGAACCAGTGGCATCTACATCTGCAGAACGTGAAGAACCAGTGGCATCTACATCTGCAGAACGTGAAGAACCAGTGGCATATACATCTGCAGAACGTGAAGAACCAGTGGCATCTACATCTGCAGAACATGAAGAACCAGTGGCATCTACATCTGCAGAACGTGAAGAACCAGTGGCATCTACATCTGCAGAACGTGAAGAATCAGTGGCATCTACATCTGCAGAACGTGAAGAACCAGTGGCATATACATCTGCAGAATGTCAAGAACCAGTGGCTTCTACATCTGCAGAACGTGAAGAACCAGTGGCATCTACATCTGCAGAACATGAAGAACCAGTGGCATCTACATCTGCAGAACGTGATGAACCAGTGGCATCTACATCTGCAGAACGTGAAGAACCAGTGGCATCTACATCTGCAGAACATGAAGAACCAGTGGCATCTACATCTACAGAATGTGAAGAACCAGTGGCATTTACATCTGCAGAACATGAAGGGCCAGTGTTATCTACATCTGCAGAACGTGAACAACCAGTGGCATCTACATCTACAGAATGTCAAGAACCAGTGGCATCTACATCTGCAGAACGTGAACAACCAGTGGCATCTACATCTGCAGAACATGAAGAACCAGTGGCATCTACATCTGCAGAACGTGAAGAACCAGTGGCATCTACATCTGCAGAACGTGAAGAACCAGTGGCTTCTACATCTGCAGAACGTGAAGAACCAGTGGCATCTACATCTGTAGAGCGTGAAGAACCAGTGGCATATACATCTGCAGAATGTCAAGAACCAGTGGCTTCTACATCTGCAGAACGTGAAGAACTAGTGGCATCTACATCTGCAGAACGTGAACAACCAGTGACATCTACATCTGCAGAACGTGAAGAACCAGTGGCATCTACATCTGCAGAATGTCAAGAACCAGTGACATCTACATCTGCAGAACGTGAAGAACCAGTGGCATCTACATCTGCAGAACGTGAAGAACCAGTGGCATATACATCTGCAGAATGTCAACAACCAGTGGCTTCTACATCTGCAGAACGTGAAGAACCAGTGGCTTCTACATCTGCAGAACGTGAAGAACCAGTGGCATCTACATCTACAGAATGTGAAGAACCAGTGGCTTCTACATCTGCAGAACGTGAAGAACCAGTGGCATCTACATCTGCAGAACGTGAAGAACCAGTGGCATCTACATCTGCAGAACGTGAAGAACCAGTGGCATCTACATCTGCAGAACATGAAGGGCCAGTGTTATCTACGTCTACAGGAGATCATACAACTCGTAAAGCCATTCCCCGTGTTTAGGACCGGTTCAAACATTCGTCACTGGTGTTGAACTGAGGTCGCCGGGTTCGTAGCGCAGCGTAGCGCTAACCACTACACAAGCGCTCCCCACACACACACACACTTACGGCTCTCCCAAGCCTTGTTCAGCCGGCCCGAGTCGAACATCTCTCTTCACGTGGCTTTTCCCAAAGCCCATTCCGCTGACACGGGAGGGAATTAGCGCCATGTGCTGGGGTTGGCGGGGGACACTGGGCGGGGAGGGGGGGGGGTGAACGGGGTCGGGTGGGGGAAACCACGGCGTCTTCGTGCGTTTCAACCGAGAGATAATCCCGGCTGATCGGATTGCGGCCTAGACAGCGGGTGGGTGGGTGGCTGGCTGGCCCGGCGGGTGGGCGGTTGGCCGGGTGAGCGGCTGTGTGCACCGTAGCACCGCTGCCACCGCACCGCGACTTACAGAGCGGCGCTACCTCAACGCGGCGCTCGCCAACGATCATGTGACGACGCTCATGGGGCACCACGGAGGCTATGAGATGTTAACTGCCTCGCCTGGTGTACAGGAGGTCGTGGGTTCGACCCCAACCCTGACGCCTGCTGCTATATATGTGGAGTTTGCGTGTCTCTCTCTCTCTGTCTCACCATCATCACGGTAGCTGGGAGATGTTAACAACCTCGCCTGGTATGCAGGTCGTGTGTTTGACCCCGACCCTGACGCCTGCTGTATATTTGGAGTTTGCGTGTCTCTCTCAGCATGATCACCACGGTGGCTAGAAGATATTAACTACCTCGCCTGGTATGCAGGAGGTCGTGGGTTCGAA